AACTCACGACCTTGCGCTTGCCAGGCAGGCGCTTTTGCCACTGAGCTAAATCCCCAGCCCCCATGCCTACATTTTGATGCTATGATTTTAAACATCTTTTTTGTTATCCATTTTCCTGTCTTTTTGTTCTTCCTAGGGGTCCTAGATTTAGTCTTTAAATATCCTATGAAGGATTCTGTTTAAGCTTGCATATTTTTCCTGATCAGAAGCTCTTTCTCATTGTCTGAAATTATTCTTCTTTTGTGGATGTGGTATTGTCTAATAAATTAATTATGTAATTGCTATCCCATCTCACTGGATCATGTTTTTCTTAGTTACCCTTTTTTATTAGATTCTAGCTCTGCTCTTGGTCCTACATTTTGGAGGCTTTTTTCAAATATCAGAGTTCCCTGACCTCATGTTTATCTTTCAGAATGTGGAATAAAATGCTTATCAAGAACTCTCTGTGACTGTGGACCAATGGCTCTGTTGAAAGATGTGGTGGAAATTAGGCTTTTTCCCTTCCCCGCTCCCTGTTTCTGATTGGAAAGCACCCATATGGCCGATGGTATCTGTAGATCTTCTCTCCAGGATCTTCAATCCATTCCGAGAAAGAGCCTCTGATCTCCGCCTTGGGGGAGAGGCAGGGGCGGCGGTGGTACAATTGGCTCCTGGCTCAGAAACTGGGTGGAGGAAGCAGGCGATGGTATCTCCCTGGTTAGCATTTGACCTTTCACTCTCGTAGTCCTCAGAGGGCCCCTGGCCCACACCTGGTGCTTCTGCTGCGTCTCCAAACCCGCAGTCTTCTGCTCTGCTTTCACTAGAGCGCATTCTGTCTGCGGCATGAAGGAGGGCTGTCTCTTGGGCTGAACTGTATCCCCCTAAATTCATTAAGTTCAAGCCCGGACCCCTAGTACCTTGGACTGGTGGCGAACCGACGGCATACATGCCGCCTTGGGCTATTTGCATCATTGAAAGCTCTGAAAGGTTCACCATCACTGCCTCGGACTGTACTTAGATGCAGAGCCTTGAAAGGTGTACTTAAGGTAAACTGAGGTTGTAGGATGGGCCTAATGCCACATGCCTGGTATTCTTATGACTCCAGTGGGAAGACGAAGGAGGACCTAGTAAAATGGTGAGTCACCGAGCAGCCAAGGAGAGAGGGACAGAAGATGCCAACCTCACCAGCACCTTCATTCCTGTCTTCTCTCTCCCAGACTGTGAGAATACACCTTTCTGCTGTCAAAGCAAGAGATCTGTGGCCCTCTGCTCTGGCAGCCTTGGAGAAAGAAGTCCTACAGATGGGAGCTTGACTCCACCGATGGAGCTGCGAATCCCAGGGCCTAACAGCTTTTTGTGTTTGTGTGTGTGTGTGTGTGTGTGTGTGTGTGTGTGTGTGTGTGTGTAGTACAGGAACTGCTGAGCTACATCTTCATCTCTTTTTTAAAATTTAACTTTGAGTTATCACCTCACTGTTACCCAAGCTGGCCTCAAATCTGAGATCCTCCTACCTCAGCTTTCCAAGTACCTGGGAACACAGGCAGGCGCCACTGTGCTCAGAACTTAGCAGCTTTTATTTTGTTTTACTTTTTTTGGTGCTGGGCATTGACCCCAGAGCCTCATGCATGCTAAGCATGTACTCTGCCCTAGCCCCGGTTAAAATCTTTGTACTGAGCTTTTGAACCAATCACCTGGTACCAGCCCACAGTCATTTTCCAAATTTCTAAATATTGTCACCTTTAATCCTCTCATCGTCGTTCTACTCTTCTATCAGCAGGGATGCAGGAGGAGCAGAGGAAAAGACATGTACTTAATGCCTTTTTAAAATTATTTTTGTTATTATCATTACTATTATCATTATTTACCGTGCCGGGGTTTGAACCCAGGGCCTTGTGCATGTGGGCAAACACTGTACCAGTGAGCCGCACTCCAGCCCAGAACTATGCGCTCTGGTAAGGTTGACCAGCGGCAGCTCCTGGGCACAAAACAGTCACCACCCTGAAGGCAATGTGCACTCTTCAGCAGCAATTGACTGAATCCGTGTCCCCAGCCTGCGCAGGAATAGCCATTTCATGCTCAGCTGGCTAAGCGATAAATCCTGATATTAATTTCAAATTCAGGCACTCAGGTTAATTTTCTTCTTCCCAAGTGTCCTTCTTAAGGATAACGGCTGACCAAACAAGCTAGTGTTTTTATAGTGCAGAACGGGGAGACGCTCGTCAGTCCATGCCAGGGTGCACCTGCTGCGGGCCTGGGTACAGTACCAAGCACCAGGTGGACTCGTTCAACTAGATCTGCAGCCCTTGAAAACCGGAATCTTCTGCCCAGATGCCCCAGAATGGCATCCTTGTCATGTCTCACTCTGAAGGACCCACTGTAACACAGTGGCAAGTGGCATCAGATGCTAACCTTTCTACTTAGTGACAGTGAGATTAGCCCTCTTGATGGATGTTAAAGACCATGACTTAAGTGATCCCAGAAATTAACAATACTATTAGAGCAAAAGATAAATGCCAGCTGTCTTGGGGCATGTCTATAACCCGAGCACTCAGGAGACTGAGGCAGGAGGATCACCGCAAGCTTGAGGCCAGCCTGGGATACACAGTGAGTTCAAGGCCAGTCTGAATACACTGACAGACCCTGCCCCGTCTCTCTCTCTCTCTCTCTCTCTCTCACACACACACACACACACACACACACACACGCATTCACACATGCACACAGCAGGGGATGCAACTCAGTATAGAGCACTTGTCAAACATGTTTGAGCTCCTAGGTTCAATACCCAGTCCTATAAAAAATTAGAAAATGATGAAGAGATGTCCAACAGGAAAAAAAAAAGATGAGAATATTCTAAGAGTGAACTAGAAGATCTTCTAGCTAACTAAGCGGTGTTTTAAAAAGTAATAGAATAAACAATAATTAAGGATTTACTATTTGTTAGGCACTGTTCTAAGTAGCTTAGATATATTGATGAAGTAATAACTATCATGGTTCGCATTTTATAGTTGAAGAAATTGAATCACAGCAAAATTAAAAGACTTGCTCACACTGAAGTCAGAGAGGAGAGCCAGGATTTGAACTCAGACACTCTGAGCTTTCAGATGCTCTACTACTCTGCAACTACCTACCTGAATGAGGAGGGAATCATTATACACATTTCTAGGGAACTTCCAGAACTGGACATCAGCAGCCAGCCTGGACCTGCACGCTGAGTGCCCAGCAGAATGACTACATGAGCATCTTTGTTCACGAGGGTCCCTGCCATTTCTCAAAGCTAGAGAGAAAGCCGCTCTGCAAATCTCCAGAGAGGAAAATTCCCAAAGGAACGGGAATCTGGATGACATTGGGATTCTCAGCAGTAACACTGAAAGCTAGAAGACAAAAAGTATTTTCCATGAGCCTATGGGTGAAAATTTTCCATGTAGAATTCTATACTTGGCCAAAGTCCCCACCAAAATTAATAGTTGGTGGGGCTAGGGGTGCGGCTTAGTGGTAGACAGGTCATCTAGTATGGATGCAGCTCTGGGTCTCAGCCCCAGCTCTGGAAAGCCATGTAAAATTTTGAATGATGATATTTCAAGTGTGTAAGGACTAAATCATACCTCTGCGCACCTTCTTGGGCTGCACTGTGACATGAGCCATGGAAAGTGAAGCAGAAACCCAGCAAGAAGGTGCAAGATGCAGAAAGGAGGGGGCTCGTGGGCGAGTGGGTCCGGGTAATGACGGAGCAGCAGGCCTGTGGAACAGCTTGTCTTCCTTGGTATTCGAGGATGGAAGTGGTACAGGGGGATGGAGTCATTGATCATTTGGAAGAGAAATCTCATAGTCATTTGATAATCGGTGACAGAATTGTACCAGGATAGGTGCATAATAATTAAGTAAAAATAAGTAAATAAATAAAAGGCTCTGTAAGAAAGAAACCAGCAATAGTGCACTAGCGGGCTGGCTTGTCACCAATACTTGCACAGATGTTCACTACTAAGCCCCTTAACCCTGAAAGAGCTACCTATTTTGGAAGAAGGGATGGAAGAGGGTGAACCACTTTTAATTTAGTTGAAGGACTAAATCAAAGTTGGCCAAAGCACATCTCTATGGACAAATCAGGAGACAGCAGTATAATTTAGTTAGAAATAGGGAGGTAAATGACAGAAGAGACAGCCAAAATAAGATGTGGTGGCCGCTAGAAAGAAGATAGAGAAGGCAGTGGAGAAGCAGACATTATGCTGTGATAATATACTATGTTGTCTTTAACAAATAACTGTGCAGTGCTTGCATTGGTTCAGAAAGTCCCAAAACCATGAACTTCCATTGTTGAGAAAGAAAAGATGGAACAACTGACCCCTGCCTCATATAATTTTTCAGGAAATGCATGATCCATGAAGACTCAGAAGAAGTTGCATGAAGCCTGGTAGTTTTAGGATGAATTTAATAAAATGTGGTACACTTTACACATCCTCCTTTATTTCCACGACCCACACACAGAGGCTAGACCCCTGTCAGAACTCCCACAAGTACGGCACTCTTTGGAAGTGGTAGTTAAAACTTCCACCTGGGCTAATTCCCCTCCTTCCCAACCAGGAGAAACAGGGCCGACTCCGGTTCATCCTGCATTGTTCCCCTGGCAACCATATTAAACTGCAAGGATAAAGCACCTTTGTCGTGGCTGCTTCTATTGAATTACAATGTAAATGTTGATGGTCGCCCTGGAAACATCGGATGACCACGGTTTGGGGAGCAGACTGGTGGGGGGTGGCGGGGAGCGTTGTTTGCAGCTGAGGAATCCCAAGTTGAGATGTGCCTGGGCCATCTTAGGCGGCTACACAGCAGGCCCTCCAGCTCCGGCCGGCCTCCCCATCCATCTGTCCAGCTCCTGAAAGGATACTCACCTCTTTGGAAATCTGTAAATTACCTGGTGTGTGTTACCCATCAGGACATGAGACGTGTTTGTTGTGGATAAGAATGTTAGAAATGCAATTATGCAACAGATCTGGCAATCTCTGTCTCTCCCCCACCCCGCGGCACACCGCGACTTCAGTTCCTCCTCTGGCCACTGTCAAACATTTGTCCTCCAGTGGGCATTCGATGCCTAGTGTTGAGCTGCGCGTTCGATTCCGGTTGGCTTGGGATTTCAGAGCGCAGCTCTCTCCCGTCCTTCCGTTTGACCCACAATCCCCAGTGTCTGCAGGTGCTGCGCCGCCTCCCCCCGCCGCCCAGACCCCATCCCTTCTCTCCCCTGTCCGCCTCACCTTCCCCCGACAGCCTGGGGGAAAAGGGAAACATCGCTGCAGGGCGGCTCCGAGCCCTGGCCCTGGCTCCCCACAGGCTCCACGCAGGTAAACTTCGCAGGGAGTTAGCAGCACTTGGAGCGGGGCCTTACCTGAGCGCGCCTCTGCCAATGGCAGCGCACCTGAGCGCGCTCCGCAGCCAATCACCGCGCAGCTCGTCCCTCGGGCTTGTACCCTTTAGTGAAAGAATTCAGCTCCTTGCGAGCAAGTTACCTGTGGCCGCCCAGGTCCGCCGCCTTCTGCTCGGAGCCTGCCCGTTGCCCCGGCCGGGAGGACCCGGCGGCCGGCCGGCCCGAGCGCGGCCCGTGCGAGGCCCCCATCCCACCTGTCCGGCTAGGTGAGGGCGCGCGCGGGCGAGGAGCGCGGTGCGGGGGGACGCAAAAGCAGAATTACCTGTAGCTCTTGTTCTGCCATCTCGGGCGCGCTCACACACCTTCACCTGCACAGACCTGAAAGTCCAGTTTCTCCAGAGGCTGAGGCTCCAGGAAAAGGGGAGCGAGTTCATTGGATCAAACATGTCACAAGAGTCGGACAAGTAAGTGGATCGCACGCGCCGGCTGCTGCTGCTACCACTTTGGGCTGATGGCAACTGGTTTGTTCTGTTTTT